TGTTGTTGATGTTGATGACGATGTTGTTGTTGATGTTGATGATGAGGTTGTTGTTGATGTTGATGATGATGTTGTTGTTGAGGTTGACGATGTTGATGATGTTGTTGACGATGTAGATGATGATGTTGTTGTTGATGTCGTAGTCGGTTCTGTTTTAGACAAATAATATTGAAGGTCTGGGCGTGGGCCTGGTTACGACTCTTTATCAATCTCCATACGCACATTCTCAATATGACTGTGAAAACTGAAGAAATCTGCGGCCACAGCTACACCTTCGATTCCGTATGAGTATTCTGTGCATACGATATATCCCTCATAAGGTGACACTAAGAGATCCTCACTGTCGCATCCCTAGTATCGTTAAACAAATCCCTATGATGTGCTACATTCGAGAATGTGGCTCAGGATAAGACTAGCTAAGATTTTGTCTATACATGTTCGTTCTCTTTCTTTTTTAGCGATATATGTGTTGCTTTCTTTCTGACAAGTATATTCTTCATGTTGTTTCTCTTTATTTCTTCCTATCATGTATATGTACGGTATTTTTCATTCTATCTTATTCATAGCATACTATATAAGGATGTGTGCAAGTAGTCATGAGTATGTGTGTTAAAGTTACATGATAACATGAAATAAACCATAGATACATCAACGAATATTGGACATAACATCCTAATATGCATCCTAAGATATTTTTACACAATTCGTATTATCCAGTGTGGAGAGCCAATACGGGGCCCGCACTGGATGCCACGAACGAATTACAAAGTAGTTCAACTTCTGACACACTTCGCAAGGGACCAGTCAGAATATTAGAGATTAATACAAGCTATTACAAGCTAGTAGGGATTAGTAGGATCTAGTAGGGGCTGATATGGAAACAACGGACACTGGACATTAGACACGATAGGGAAACCAGAGAGTCGTAAGTACCAACAGGGTATAGGAGCGAGCTGGTGGGCGGTTTTGTTCTACCTTCAAAGGACGCATCATCACGATGTGGTTGAGTGGAATTATTGGTCATGGTGATCCATACCAGGCCCGTAGTACTACCTACTAGGTCTTAGTACTCCATAATAGACCCTAGTACTACCTGCTAGACCCTAGTACTACCTGCTAGACCCTAGTACTACCTGCTAGGTCTTAGTATTACCTGCTAGGTCATAGTACTACCTGCTAGACCGTAGTATCAACTACGTAAATATATATATACATACACATCTATGTATTTGTAAAATACGTTTATACATAATATACACGTATCATATATACAATGTATGACAGTTTTTACTCAAATAATTCTCTTCCTGATCAATATATTTATTATCTAAACATTAAAACCTGACGTTTCGAACAACAATGTCCTTCTTTGTCAGAAGTGTTGGTACATTTTTACGATCGATATCTTATTTATATACGTTCCTTTTTTTCTTTTCATTTAATAGTGGTACGGAGAAGATGGTAATAGAAAATATTTAAGTGGCAACTATATGTGTAAATGATGTTGAGAAATT